ACCTGGGACATACATCTCTTGACTTTTTCATTCTTATTAACAAAAGGTCGGAGGAGTTGTGCTCAACATCAGGCCATGTTGGCCTGACCTGACAACCACCTTCTCAGAATTCTTTGTAACATTATTTAAAGCAGTGTATGTGAAATATCATAAAGGAAATACCTTAATTTACTTCTTGAAGAACTTTATAGTTTTTTTTGGTGTGTAAATCTTTCTTGGTGAGACCTTTGACTCACATTGCACTTCACAGGGGACAGCATTGGATTTAGATTGTATAATGCTGCCTCTTGGTGCAAGTTTGTCTCCACTGACTACTAAGTGTCAGTTGTGATCAAATGTTGATGCAATTGTTGTAATTTTGGTTTTTTCTTTACAGAAAATGTTGTGGAAGAGAATCTGTTTTACATTGTTAGCCCTAAAGATCTTGTCCTGGCTAAGGTACATAATATTATTTTGTTTTGATCCTAAGAGTTAAATGATGGTTGTTATATTAACACCAACTGCTTGTACTTTTACTCAGCCCAGAAATATTGATGATCACATTAAATGGCTCATGGATCATGGAAAGTATGAGGTATATAAGAAATATCTTAGTTGTCTTTGGTCAAAATGATCTGTCTGTTTACCAGCTGTATTTATCGCTGGCTGCTGAAAGCTCAGAGGCTGGTCTTGTGTATTTTTGGTAATAATCACAACAAAGTCAAAATACCCTAGTGCTTCCATTTTCATGATATGTGTAGGTGTAGGTGTGGTCAATTGTTTATGCAACTACTAAGGAGATTTTAACAGCCAAGCATATTGATCAACCTTTTTTTAAGGTTTATTCCCTGTGTTCAGCAACACAAATATGTTTAACAGTTTAACTGAATACTTTATTTTTAGGAAGCTCTGAGTGTATCTGAAACAAACAGTAAAGAAGTCAAGAAACATAATCATCAAGTAAGACAAAGATTTCCTCATAGCCAATGTTTATTGTGCTAGACTCTGGTCTAGGAGTGTAAGATGCAGGGTCATGTTGTGACTGATTTCATGTTGGGTGTGTGTTTTGTGGCAAGCAGTGTAAGATAGACTTTGTAGTAGATAAAATTGATAGGAAAACCCGTTGAAATGGAGAGGACTAATCTGTAAATGATAAGTCTGCCAACAAGTAGGAGTGGCAACACTCCTAGTTACATTATAACACAATATACTTGGATGAGGTTCACCTTTTTAGGCCTCTTTCCTCTAATGTAGACTCTAAGATTTTTACTCCCTTGAATGATCAAGACAGAAAATCTCCTTTCAATGTCGATACAATATCAAGCAGACATGTGATGAGAATAAAGAAAAATATTCATAAGAATTATATGGTAGACAGTAAGTACTATGAAGGAAGGAGGAAAAGAGTTTACCCTCTACTTCTGTCAGTAGTCTCATTTAACCTTTAGTGCAGTTAAATTTTTACATGTGGTATTTCATTTTATACATTTAAGGATATTGGAAGAGCTTTTTTGAAATCTTTGATGGAGGAAGGAAAATATGAGACAGCTGCCAGGTTTGCAAAGATTTTTTTTTGTGATTACATGTCCTTGTTTTGATGAAGCCCTGTTGCCAGCTGATAATTGTGAAACCTTTCTTCTTGAAATTTTGTCTGTGCAGATTGTGCATCAAAGTATTAAGTGATGACAAGAAACTCTGGGAAGATGAAGTGTACAAATTTGCTAGAAAACATCAGCTGGAGGTGAATATTCTTTCCTTTTCCATTTTTTTACTGGGAGGTTCAAAATTAGTTTGAGTTATCCATGATTTTATTTATTTTCTCTATCAGGCTATCGCCCCTTATATTCCTACCAAAGCAGTGAAGCTGAGCTCAGCAATTTATGAAATGGTTCTGTATGACTTCCTCAAGAAAGATGTCAAGGTATTCATCCAACTACATTAAGTTCTTACTGTTCTTGTTGATCTTGTGATTTTGATTATCCAATCAGGGACCAACAGGAACACCTGCAGAGTTGTGAATTAATGAGCATATGAGATTAGTGTGGTAAAGATGAGGATGATGGTGACCACAATGATGATAATGATGATCAGTACAATATTTCTTGAGGGAGCCCCCTTTTCAAAGTAAATTCAGAATTACAGCACATGTTTGGCTATTTCTTCTCTATAGAAGCTTTTTTTGAGCAGGGGAAGAACATCTTATGTCACTTGATGTTAACTCTATATATGAGAATCAGAAGACTAAACTTTGCAGTCTAGGAAAGATTGAGTACTGTGTTTGGCATGCTGTACTGTGAAACTCAAAAAAGCAGGAACACTGGAAATATTTCTGAAATCAGATTCCGTCAAGGAAAAACAAGCTAATCCAGCATGAAAAATTTTAAATGTATACAATAATACTTATTAGTGAGTGATCATGTTTTTTTCATGTCCTGATCTCCCATATGATTGGTCACAATACAGTGCATATTCTGCAAATATTTCAGGTGTTTGGGGTACTAATATTTGTTCACTTACTTGGTGTTGACATTCATTAAAGCCTCTTCGAATGTGGATTTGATTATTTTGGAAATTCCTGTTTGTATTTCAGAAATTCCAGGCACTGATCAAGGAATGGCCAGCAGATTTATACAATATGAAGCCCATCATTAATGCTATACAGGTGAGTGGGAAGGACATTAAAACAAATGAATCTGATTAACTGGCTCACTGTAGGGTGACTGTACCTGACTCACTGACTGACTGACTGAATGACTGATCAACCAACTGACTGACTGGCTGAAGGACTTTCTGACCCACTGATGGACCAACTGTCTCTCGCTGCCTGACTGGTAGACTAACCAACTGACTAACTGACCTATGGATTGAAACCTTCTGACAAACTGACTTGGTGCCTACAGGGGATAAGTTTATAAATAAACTGGTGCTGCATCTGGGGGGGGGGGGGTATTACAAGATAATTTGGTTTTATCAGCTGAGTTTATAATGTGAATTAGCCACCGTAAAGAGTTTCTAAAGCTGACGTTTCGAGCTTTAGTCCATCATCAGAGTGAATGATTGACTGACTAACAGACAGACTGATTGACAACCTCACCCAAAATGGCTGGCTGTCTGAGTGTAACATAACTTCTGACTGACTAAGAAAGCAACTGACCTCGTAGTTTGTTATTGACATTTTTTAGGATCAGCTGGATAAGGACCCTAAGAACCGTGTTCTTTTGGAAACTCTTGGAGAACTGTGAGTCAACTGTATTTTGTTCTGCTTTATTTCACTTTTCAAGCTTATGTTCGAATACTAACAGCTTTTTTGGCAATCTTTTTCTGTTACAGTTACACGCGGCTGAAGAGATATGATAAAGGGCTCGCCATATACCTTAAGTATGATTTGCTTTCAATCCCTTGATACATCTGTTCGCAGAATACATGGAATTTAAAGAGTAAAAAACTTTGGTAACATTTACTGAGCGTGGAAAAAGAAATATCAAAGTCAGCTTGCTTTCAAGTTGAACCTTTTTACATTCGAACATCAGTCTGAATGTTCTCCATACTGTTTTCTGAATATTACCTACGGTGCAGACAAGGAGAATTTGGTTGGTGATCAGTTCCTTTATTCTCATAACCTTAATGTTTGATTCATGGGTGATATTATAAGGAGAAATTAGATCCTAGGCATTCTTTGGGGTTGAAGGATTAACAAGCCAACCAAAACTTGGAGGAAAGTGGAAGACAGAGAAGTTTTCCAGCTTCATCTCTTCGCATGAAACAACATTCATTTTCTTGAAAAATAGAAGATTTTACGCTAGTAATTAATGCACATGTGCAAACTGTTTTTATTTTACAGACTTGGACATAGCGATGTGTTTAACTTGATCCATCAACACAACTTGTTTAGCTCTATTCAGGACAAGATTATTATGCTCATGGAATTTGACAAAGAGGTACATATATAAACATTTTTTTTCTGTCTCTGTAAACACAAAAGCATGAAAGGAAGCTGCTCGATTTGAGCGTCAAGGGTCGACGTTCAGTGCAAGATTTAGTGGAAGAGTTTTTAGGGAAAATATAACATCTAAATAAGAGAGCAATGTATCAAGCAGGCGTTAGTTTCTAAACCTTCTCAGTACTTGTTATTTGATTTGTTTTCTAGAAAGCCGTGAAGATGTTGATTGATAATACAGACAAAGTTCCTGTAAGTGAAGCTCTGAAACTTAAAAAAAAATGTTTTGGTTAGAGCTGACTGACAGTAACTGTCATCAATGTTGAAACTGAGATGCGTTGATTTGCATGGTATACAATCTTTATGTGCACGCTTACATTCTCTACGTCTAAATAATTTACGTTAGACATTTGTAATACAATTAGTTCTTGGTAACTCGTTCATTTGGCGGTATCAAGTCAGCGAGAATAAGCCGTCCTTGATCGTTGGAGTTCGCTGTTTACTTTTCCAACTCTTGTTTTTAAGAAGTGAACAACCGTCTTCCGGAATAAGTGAACAACCGCTTTCGTTTCACAGGGTAACAGAGACAAGCGCGAGGCGAACGCGAAGGATAAATGTCGCGCGTACCTCACTCTTCGCGCGTGGATCTACCTTCGCGCATGCCTCACCCTTCGCGTTCGCCACGCACCTCTCCGCTTACTTAAAAAACGCACAGAAAATTACACCTTCTACGACGGTTATATCGAAAGCTCTCTTGTGCGCAGGATTCTAAGATCAGGTTAGATATAGACATTAATTTTTTGAATTAGGGCTTCAGTTTATTCTTTGTATCAGGCTTCACCATGTCACCCTCTTAACTCAATAAACAGGTTCCCATGATTATTTTTCTGTGTGGGACAGTCTGAACCTTAATCATTCAATTTCAGGTTGAAGAGGTTGTGCGCCAACTGAACAGGCGATCAGAACTTCTTCATGTGGTTAGTATCATAACTGTTGCGTGGGTTGATTCAAAATGAAATTCTCCGCACAAAGGAAATGCTGTCCCAATGTCCTCCAATCCATACGGTTCGATCATAATGAACTAACAGGAATGTTTCAATCATAGCGGAGTTCAGGTGTAATATTTTGAATAATTTCCACCGTTGTGAAAAACTGCCTTCAAGTAAGTTTACTGTGAAGGAGAACTTTAAAGCTGATTTCTTATGGTATAATTTTAGCTGATGTAAGGAGTATTTAAGGTTATTGCTACACTGAAAGACACTTTCAGAAATGGCTTTTATTTGTTTAGTATCTTGACTCGCTCTTCGTGAAAGATCCACAAGCCGGGATGGATTATCACGAACTACAGGTATAAGCATTTTAATATACCTTTTTGCTACTGCTTTCGTATCTTTGTTGTTGGTAAATCTAACATAAATCATAGGCTAATACCATGAACTGCGATCAACTGATAGAGCTATGTTTAGTGGAGTGTTGAAAGATATCCACTTTGTTCTGTGATTGGTCCAGAAAACTTGCGCCATCCTCTCAACCAATGAGATGATTCACTCTTTTTATATACTTATAAAAAAATAATTTGTATAAAACGGTTAAAACGCGGGGAACACGTGACTCTCTCTAACGCTAAGGGCGAGAAATTTGTGCGTGATAAAACGAGCTGGAAAGTTATATCAGAGATTCTTTTTGGTATTTGCGCGAACCGCTCACCCTCAAAGAGTCAAATGGTTCAGGTGAGAAGCTTTTGTTTAGTTACCTTTAACGATTTTAGGGAAGATAAGAAACCTTATCATAGCATCGAGATAATAATCTGGTGCCATATTGTTTTTTCAGATTCCTCTTTATGCAGAATTTGAGCGATCAAAATTGCTTACTTTTCTGAGAAACAGCAATTATTATCCTCTGCAAAAGGTAATTCTTTACTTACAAGAACTTCTTTTACTATTTGTTCGTTGTAATTCACTTCGATCATTCAGCTACAACTTATCTCCATTTCACACCCGAATCTGTCTTAGGCTCTAAACGAATGTGAACAGAGGCGCTTGGTTCCGGAGATGGTTTTTTTGCTCAGTGAGTATAGAGTTAGATTAAAACTTGTAATTATTTAGAATTGCCATGCTGCTGTTATTTATTATTATTAAACCTACTTCTTCGCAAACGAGTTTAAAATGGAGTCTTAACTAGTTCGGTCTTTGCAAATAATAGAAAAGGCTGTTCAATTGCCCTAGGACTGAGACAAAGGAAACAATCTTTTTTTCTCACGAAGAATCGAACCTTAGACCTTGGGACCTTTCGGTGTATGGTTATTTTGGCCTATACCAGGTTTATATCTGATAGGGATCTTGCATACTGCGAGGATCAGCAATGTGGAAAGTGTTATCTGTGTGCATGGATCTGGCAAAGGAAACTTCATGGAGTAGAATTCCTCCCAAAGCCTTTTACAATTTCACTCACAAATTTCCATTTTTAAGAACGTGCATGTCTGATTTTGAAGAAGGAGACTTATTCAGTAAAAACTAGTCCCAATTTCCCTCGCATAATGCCAAAGAAACTTGTCAATACAATCCTGCTTGTTGGAACGTATCTTAATTGTTAGAACTTGCAGCCATGTCGTTTATTACTTTTCATTTTTTTTTTTTACTCAGGTCGCATGGGAAACAACAAGCAAGCTTTGCAGTTGATAATTCAGGAAGAAAATGATGTAGAGAAGGTACGTCTCATGAAAACATGTGTGACTAACAGTTAACAATTATTCACCGAGGGGGAGGCGAATAGTGGTGGATATTTACCTCGGCGCTTCGCAGCTCGGTAAATATCCACCTCTTTCGCCGACCGTAAGGTGAACAATAGTTTAAGTATATACCACACACCAACAAAATAAAAGTAGTTTATTTCTGACAATATGCCAAAAAATAGTCGGAGATTAAGTTGTTGACGCGCGATTTTGTCTCTTTGGCTTCTTGGAGGTGATTAGCTCTTGCTAATCACCTCTGAACCAGCCAATCAACGCGCGCGAAAAGCATTATTCACCTGTGTGGTATATACTAAAAGTCCTCACTAGTGTGAGGTGATATGCAGTTTGTAGTGTATGAATAACATGTTATTTATTGATTGACAGGCAATTGAATTCGCCAAAGAACAAGACGACGAAGATTTATGGGATGATCTGATCAATTATTCTCTTGACAAACCAGGTATGTCACCGTTTTTGTATGGGAGCCTGAGTTGAGCCTCCGCACTCCGTTCTTCTGTACGCACCTACTCTCATCTCCTTATTTCATCACGTGCACAAGACGCAAAAAAATATTTATATTTTTACGTCCTTTCTCAGTCAGGATAATCATTTTGGAACCTGAGGTGAAAAGCAAATATTTTAAAGAATATAATTTTTTTTTATAGAGTTTATCACGGGGCTCTTGCATAATATCGGGACTCATGTTGATCCGATCAAACTCATAAAGGTATGAATGTTTCAAAATCAGTTTGTCTCAGTATCAATAACATAGTCTCAGTTCGATGAACATTCCTAAACTGCGTCGTGTAGACAACCAGTGTTGTGTCAATTTAACGCAGTCCTCCTCCAATGAAAGCTGACACGATTCATGGCTTATCTGTATTTAGAGCAGACCTTTCTTTAACCAAGACTACCGCTTAGCTGAAAGAAAACGAAAACAACTGGTAATGAGGCTATACTTGACTCGGCTACATGCTTTCTTTCATATTCTCAGAGGATTCCTGAGGGAATGAAGATTCCTGGTTTGAGAGATTCATTGGTGAAAATTCTTCAAGACTTCAATTTGCAGGTAACTGGCCTGACTGAAGCAGTACTAACAAGTTTTGGTTGCGTTAGCCCATCTAACGTGCACAACTTCGAGTTGCGTTGAAGTAAAATTTCATACGTCTTTCAGTGTTATCCGTTTTAGTTTAGGCTGCTCTGGTTTCCCTTTTGTGTTCGGCTTGTGAGTAAACTACCATATAGAGGGGTTTTCAAGTGTGTGTCGAAAGTAATCAGGAATTGCGTTGGTCTCGGTGTGACCCAAGAAATTCTCGCCCTTCTCTCGACCAATCAAATGCAAAACTCAAAACAATCGGGACTTGGTCATTCGCGTTTTCCCGCGCTGCAAGCGATTTCCTTATGTTCACTTTGGATTCTCATTGGCTACTGATATTATAAACCTTTGTTCTAATTGGTCGCAGTGATTACTTTGGTTTTGCGACACTCCATTGAAAACTGGTTTAACTTGATTTATCACCAGAGTAACTTTCATGTACAAGTAATAATTGCTTAGTTTCATTATACGTGTTATTCAAACTGAAGCGGTGTTTTATTTCTAGATCTCTCTTCGTGAAGGTTGCAAAAAGATTCTCGTCAAAGACAGGTGAGATAAGAGGCTTTATCCTCCATTATATAAAAAAAATTTGGTGTTATATTCATTAAACCAATTAGTTCATTCGTATTTGAAATTGAAAAGATGTGAAACTTACGATCAATTGGTCACCTACAATATTCAATGTTATAAATTTCTTGCATGGGTTTTACGCGAGGAACGCGTTACACGCTGCTGTATGCAGGACATGGAGGTGATGTCGTTCAAGTAGCTAAGATCATGCTTGAAACATTTCGTATTACTCAGCACCGCGTTGATTTCACTGAGGGAAATGCTGAAATCCAGTAATGTGAGCTTTTCTCCTCTCTGCAGCGTGTCTTTGCTACAAAGGTTGAGCAAGGTTCAGCAAAGGGGAGTGTCAGTTGACGGTATGTATCCTGCAGAATAATCCTCAGACTCAGCCTGGATTGTTTTTTATTTTTTATCCAGAACGCTTCGCCAGATTGGGCTCAAACCCTAGTTTGAGTCATTCTGTTGTGTTATTGTAGTAAGACCTTTCACTCACAGTGACTGTCTCCACCCAGGAGAAGTGGGTGCCTGAAGACTCTAACAGAATCGCGAGGCAGGGATAAGCTCCGGCTTGTGGGGGAGGCGGGGGGGAGGGGGGGCACTTAGCTTGAGAGAAGCCTGACTGTACCTTTTACCCTTTTTACTTTTACTTTTACCTTAATTTTTCACCTGTGTATTAAGTTGCTTCGTGTTTATAGAAACTGGGAAAAGCCTCGTCAGTTTTCGAATCATTTTCGTATACAGGCCCCACATGAACCTATAAGCTGGCACGATTACTGTTAATCTTATTCTTATGTGTGGTTTTGTCGTTGTAGATGAAACAAAGTGTCCCGTTTGTCAAGGAGCAGTTATTGCTGAAGGTTAGTGCCACAACCCCCCTCCTGAAAAGAATAATATAAAAAGAGTAAGAAATGAATGTCCCCTTTTTGGTATGACTGCTTATCTTTTCTTCATTTGTTAGGTAACATTTGTGACTGTGCATTCAGCTTCTGGTGTCTCTTAATCTTTGGTTGAGAATTCCCATCTGCTCTACCTCTCTTTCCATTGTGGTTTCTTAAACGAGAACACTACAAATGTTACAACAAAACGTGATCAAGCTAAGATACTGAATTCCGTGCATATGCCTTACATTGGAGGCAATTCCTCACTTGTTATCTGTCTCTGTGAATTAGTGTTTTGTGAATCTTTTAATGATTTGTGGAGAATGAGTTTACGCGGCATAGAATTTCTGAGAAAGCTTCCTTGGCGACACAGGGTTTTTTTTTTCCTTAGTTTCTCCTCTGATCTCCGTAAACAAATTTGATAAAAAATATTGAAATAGGTCTGTAAACGCTCTAAAGAACCCAACTTTATCTTGTCTAGTCTTGGGGGTTGACTTGTTCCTTATCTTTACTTTCATCCGCTGTGAAAGTCTCGTGGTTTGCACCACTGGTGTATTAGTGATATCTCTTTTGACAGGAGAATGATTTTGTTTTTCAGATACAAAACGAACCTCACATGTTGTGGTGTTTTTCTGTAAACATGTTTATCATGAAGATTGTTTACCAGCTCGTGACGTGGTGAGTAATGATCAAGTAAAGATATCAAAGGCAGTGTTTGGCACTGCATTCGTGACAAATCATCGGCCGTCAGATATGCGCAGACGGCCGCACCATAGCAAATGAAGTGTACAATCAGGACTCTCCCATCCGTCCCTATGCGGGTTTGGGTGGTACCACGTACAAACCTAATTCTGCAGCTGGGTTTTTTTGCGCAATGTTGGGCTTCCTAAGGCTTGATTATTCAAGTTTCCTTTTTCCAGCTTGTCACATTGGAAATCGAGGTGCTTGTACGAATGAAAGATAAATTGCATCTGCTCAAGCAAATGAATATTGCTTTCATTGAGAACAAAGTTACTGGGTTTGCAAATTGTCAAGAGGTTGAGGTTTAGCTGGTATAAGTTGCGCTAACAATAAAAGACACTGAAAGAAACAGGCTTGTACAAGTAACCCTCAATCTACTTGTTGACAGTATTATGGTATTTCCCATAATGTTCTTTGCATGGCTATGAAAAAAAGCTACAGATGGTAAAGGGAGAAGACACAAGTGCACACTAATATAGGTCGCTATTTGCTTTGTAGGGTCCGTTTTGCCAGATTTGCACAGCGCATAGCCAAGTGAAGAGACTGCGTTCCCGTCACGTGCAGAGAAATGAAGCAAGGCCTTGATTGGCCAACCATCCCAAGAGATTGAGATTCTAGGACTCACAACTTCAGAAATTAAATTTAGAATGATGCTATAACTGACAACCCCCACCCACTCGTTAATTATGAAAATCCCTTCATTTAGAGACGACAGAAGCTGCTGTCCCAATCGTGTGTTCGTGCACCTCTCGAGGAAAGGCCGAACAGAACAGTAAATGAACCTAATTATATAGATTTAATTCCCATAATTTAAGACCCGCAGCAGAATCTTTAAAGATACCTTGCGCAGGAAACAACTAAGGAGAAGTTCACGTGAGAAAAAAGGGTGTTAGGTGTTTTCGTTTTCACACCAGAGTGTATTTTTATTGAGTGTCATGAAATCAAAACCAAATTGATTATAACAGCCAATCGGGACCAATACAAAGTAAACTGGAAGAAAAACCAAGTAAATCCGCGAAGCAAGAATAAACTCTCCCTTTTTGACACCACGAGTCGAACATTCAATTTAAGAGTGCGTTCTTGGTTATTTTGGAAAAAAAAAACTAATGTGCGCATGCAGGTGTATTGCCAGCCATTTGCAGGGAGCAGTGAATGATGCACCTCTGGCAGCAGTTTGATTTCTCTGCGTCCCAGGCAAGCAGTGAGACAAGCTAACATTTAATCCTGGCTTGCAAGAACTTAGACCCCGCTGATAAACACTTCGTCATTTGTTTGGTCATCAGCAATTTTTATTGTACACAAATACATTAGAAGGAAATAAGAAAGGGGCACTTGTACAAAGAGTGTATTGGTTTGGACATGGCGGATTGCTTTATAAAATATACGACTTTGTTTCATCTAAGGAGAACAATTGAATTCAAACTCTGCTTGTCTACCGAGTACGCAGAACAGAGTGTTGGCTGTCAAGATCCAATTACGCTAAACAGCTCATCAACGCGCACAATACATGTTAATTCTCGTAACCTAGTCAACACTGTCAAGTGTATTGATGATACGCAAATAATCTTCCTATAATTTGTAATAAATAATGTTTTAAAAAATACAGGAACATCGATCGGGTTTTATTAACTTTGTACACTGATCGGTTCCGTACATAGCAACACAGTTATCGCCCACTTTTCGCTTGAAGTTTCATATTTTTATAGCCGCCGATGTTTCAAATTGAGGAGGTTTTAAAAAAAACGAGGCATCACTACGTGCAACACGAGCAGGATGTGGTTGTTCTTCACTAAATTCATACCTCCCTGAGTTTGTCGACGTTTTCGAACTTTGAAGTTTAATGTCTGTTTTTTTTTCTTGGATGTGACTGAACGTTCTCCTTAACTACAGCTCGGAAAGTAAATGCAGTTCTTTCAAAAGCAAACTACGAAACAACGTGATAATATACAAAACTATACGAAAAAAGCGTTCTGAAAGTGAACTTCAAATAATATACAAATTTTGAGCAAGATGCAAAAAGTCTCAAACTCATTTTTGCACACACAAAAACACAGCAACAACTTCCAATAGAGTTACCTTGTGCAAAACAATTTCATCATTCAGGAGACCCAGTTGTGACACAAAACAAATGCTTGGCGTAGTTATGGCAAATATGCCAAATGAGTAACTTGTTGCACCGAGCGAAACTTAGCTGAAGTTAGAGAGAACGAACAGTGAAGTAGGTCAAGTTTATGCTGAGTTTGTTTCCCAAAAGTAAATACCATAAGTACATAAACGACTGCAATGATCAAGTGACTGAAGTAGGTTTGCTGTCCTGACAATAATCAGGGTCTTTAACACATTTATCCGCTTCCGCTTTTCCTTCGAAAATTCCAATGTACTAGACATTTCACGGAGTTCCAACGCTTCTACGGCCCTTACATGAGTATTTTGAAACACTCACTACACGACCAGTAATCTAGGCCTTTAACTTGGCCTCAAACCTGGTTAATAACTACACTAAAGTACGCTGCGTTGTTCCATTTAGATTATTCCACGAATATTACGTTGCGTTTGGTAATGTGTTGACTGAGGTTCCTAATCCATCCAGCAGGGCATCTGCTCGATTTGCATCTAATTCCCTGAAAAACAGCAACAACAAAAACTGTCTTGAGATGGATGTACATTCTTCTATGTTGAATAAAATGACTTGGGAGGAGCGAAGAAAGTCTCAGTGTTGATTAAAACTGTTGCAAAGACCGACTTAGCCTGTTCCACGCTCTCGTTCAGGAATGACAGGCTAGTGAAAATGCGAGTTACTTTTGCCACCGAAGCTTGCGTGGTAGTCTTTTCCGTTTGCCTTCTGAAAAGACAGTTTAAGAGGTAACTAGCACTAAGCCTCCCAGCCCCCCCTTCTCGCGCCCACGCCCACGCCCAATTATCTGCCACGGTGAGATACCCTAATATGACCTCATTTATTAGTTTTATATATCAGAATCTTTAAAATTGCTTACATTTGTTCAACGCCAGAGCTTTCAGCAGCGCTCGCTCTCGACACAGTACCGGTTGACGGCGAAGAGTTGTGAGAGGTGGGTGAAAATGGCGCGCTTCCCCGCACCAAATTGTTCGTGACCGGAAAGTTCAAAGCATAAACCGTCTTCATGGGCGCTGTTGAGTATGCGGCGTTTTTACTAAGCAACGTCCCCGTGGTGTAGCCACCTTGATTTGATAAAGGTCCATTTGGTAGCGAGCTACGATTCAGAGTTGAATGCGTAAAGTTTGGTCCTACCACCCCGTTTGTCGGGGTGGGATTGAGCGAAAATTTCGACCGTTGTTGCGTAGAAAAGCTTCTGTGAAGGCGAGGTCTTGGTTCTCCACTTTGCTTATTGGAAGGCGGAGATTCCGACGACGATGAAGACGAAAATGACGAGAGTGATACTTGTGCAGGCGGTGATTTGGGTCTGAAGTGCAGTCTGAAGATAAGAAACATATACGAGTAAGACAAAAGGCACGTTCTAGCAAATACTGAAATCATTTTTTATCACGACAATTAGTTGGGATATGAATATCCAACCACCTAAGGCTATGCTCTCGACAGGGTTAATAGCTTTTTTGGTATTAATCATTCAAGAAATTCTTCAACACCTTCGAAGTCAAACTTTCCGGGGCCAAGGTTTTTCTCTCGGTTTCATATAGGAATGTAAATAGAAAACTTAACTCATTTCCCGTGAGCAATACAGTGGCAAAGTTAAGAACACTTCGCGATGTTACGATTGTAAAAAGCATACATGCAACATCACCGACAGTATAGCTTAAAAGCACGAAACTTAGGTAAAAGTTAATGTAAAAGAGACTAAAAACTTACAACGATGGCTTCTTCCAGCCTGTTAGGTGGTCATATGGAAATAAACCATTGGGTAACGAGAAGGACGATGACGGTAAAGCGTTTAGACGCATGTCTAACTCGTCTAAGTCTTCCGATAAAGGACTGTAGCCCCGATCCATATATATCCTACACAAAAAAGAAGATACACGTACAATGTGTTATACACATCACTTTGCACATGTGGACCAACAGTATTAAGAACATCAGCACACAGAGAGTGAGAGAGCTGCCTCACCTTCCACCTCGACCCACTCTCCTCCGCGCAAATCCAATGACTCTCTGCGGCGATGATATTGATGTACAACTGAAACGAAATCTCCTATCACCCAAACCACCTTCGGAGGGATCTACCCATGGCAGCGGCTCTGGCATATCGAATCGAGGCTGAGGAACAACAAAGGAAATAACTTTACTCTTTGGATTAAAAACATCAATTAGGGTAGTTCTGTACCATTAAAACATTTACTTATTCATGCAAAAAGAATGTTCTTGCATCTATTAGGAATACTCGAATCAACCAACCGCGATGTATCTGACGCCAAGCTTTCTTTTAAATGCGAATCTACCATCAGGGTCTTCTTCATCATCTTCAGGTTCTGATGGAATATCCACCTGGTTGATTGGAAGAAAAGTAACCCAGTGATGATTAGCAAGAAAATACCTCAGTTCCAAAGAGAAAACACCTAAGAACTCGATAACTAGATTGAACACACAAAAACAATCGAACACAAAACAGTTAAAGGTATAATACACTTGTTACGCATGTGGGACTAAGAAAAATCGACGTCAACCATACAGATTTGAACTACAGCTTGTCCTGATTTTGTCTAAGTCAGATATTCTTCACCCCTTCCTGTATAGCTCAAGAACTGAATAATTGCTTCCAAGCTGATTCTAAAATCAACTATACTAGACAGTCTAGTACGTTTCCTTACTGGAGGCGGAGAGACGTGAATTGGCTCCTCATCATCACTGAACAATATCTGATCTCCAGATGGTTGAATGTGAGGTGCCTTGACAGGGTGACTGAGCTTAGGCCTCTTAATACTGCAGAAGAGTTTGACACATTTCAACTATATTAGAAATTAAATAATGAAAACAACAACAACAAAAGATTTTTATCTATGCTCTCAAAAGTTACATATAGTTAGTTATCAAATCTGACATACTTACCCTAATTCATTGTAATTCAGGTAGTCATTCTTGCCTACTCGTGGCCTTTCCTAGGAAAAAAAGAAGAATGACACATGTATATTAGGTTATTAACATAGTTTTTATAAATGATGCATGTAGATGAGTTTTGGAAGAAATCTTTTTACCTGTGCTCCTCTTCTCCATAATTCGTGATCCCTCTCCCCTCCTGTACCCGAGCCAGGTGTTACATTCTCACCATAGCCTGCTGATGTTGGCACAGTAAGATTGGTGGCTGGAGGTTGATATCTGATCATATCCATACACTGTTGAAGGATCTGACCTGCAAAATCTCCAGCAGCATATCTAGTATATATAAAATGGAATTAACATTAGTGCCAATTGAAAAGAATAGTCAGATATTCTGTTTATTATAACGAATTCCAATACATGTAAGTGTTGCTGAGAAATTTGATTAACACAGACTTATAATCAGATTGGGTATGGAATATCCCATAGATTCTATTAATGAATAAAATATCTGGAATTTGAATCTGTTGGGGGTCTACATAATCAAATTCATATCTGTTTCTCACAGCCTTAAAGACAGCCTTAGGACTTAGTAACCCATCTGATCAAATCTTATTATGGTTTCCATAGCAAAGAGTAACTGAGTAATATTACTCTATGGATGGGACGTCAATCAATCATGCACTACCCCAGCATTTTGTCAGATCACATCTTCCTTACAGTTTGCAAATACCCATGAACATTCTTGGTTTCCCAACAGCACTACACAGTGACCCCAACAGAGCTAAAACCTGGATCTCTTGATCCACAGTCCGACAGAACAACCACTAGGGCTACCATGACTGCCACTTGGTAAGTAGAAACCTTTAGAGTCTATATCCTCTCCCATTTTAAAATTAAGATCTTTTTATTTCCTCTTGAAAGTGTGCTTGGCCTGGTTTGCCACAAAAAGTGATGTTGTACCTTTTCTCAAACACTTGAATAGTAAGCTGCAGATGTTCCTTTTTTGACTGCTCTCTCCTCTTCACCATATCCAATATTGTGCAAGCTCTATTTAAATCTCTGCGAAGCTTCAGCATTTTTTCATACGAGGCTTCATCATTCTTGCGATTCTGCAAAAACAAGGTGGAAAAGTTATATCAAAGGTTTAAATAACACCATACAGCACAAAGTATCTTTAAATGAAACACTTTCAGTTAAACTGACAATTATCTACCTTTCTTGTTTGCATCTTTTCAGTTCTTCTTCTAAATGCAACATATGGATCACTAGCAGATGAGCCATCCCTCTTTTCTCCTTTAAGCTGTGGGGTCAGTGATATCACCAGATCCTTCTGAAACAAAACAGTATGCAAACATGAGGATACAATGAAACGTTTGCACAATCATCACCTGTCAGGCAATGACAATCTAGCCTCAGCATCTGTTCCTTCCATTAAAAATCTCCATGCTTTTCGACTGAAACTCTGAATTTTAACCTTTTGACAAAACATTTTGCCTCAAATCCCTCAATATTTGTTGAGCTCTCACTTTCTTAAATCTTAGAATACACTTGAAACTCAGTTTGACATTTATATTTCACTTCCTGTGGTTTCTTTATTTTCTTTTTTTTTTTGTAACCATTTTATGATTCAAGTTGCCACCCAACTACTTTCAAAAAAGTTGAACTTGGAGGACTGAAAAAGATAATGTCAGCCCCATACCAGCTTTTTCCGTTTATTCATCCAGTACTCATAGAGCGGCTTTATTATATCACCCCCTTCTTTCAACAATGACTTGGCTTCATTCAAAGACACCACCTGAAAAAAGAAAAGAAGAATTACACAAACTGTTCTTCATAATAACTTTTCACATCATCTCTGTAGCTTTGGATGGACAAAATAATCAAAGAGAGTTAACTATTTAGAGTTGCTTATTAGTGAGCTTTCTTCTCCTCACACCTTAACTTCCCATTTTGCAATTTTGCCAAATTATTTTTGACTCAGTTTGATCTGATGTTACATTTTTAAAATTTTCATCTTTTTGTTCAAAATCAACAGTACACTACACCTCTAGGAACAAACACAAAATATGAAGTTCAAGACTGCATGTGGCTACTGATTTACATGTAGCACAATTTTCATAGCATTGGAAAGTGCTAAAGGTTGTATAATGATGGTAGAAGGAAGTGTTGTAGGAGGTTTGTCTCACAAGTAAACCAGAAAACCTGCCACATCCCACAGATTAACAAGTACCTTGTTATGCTAAAAAAGATGATTTAAGAATGTAGTGACTAATTGACACTCAACCAATAATTTAATGGTAACAAATAATCAAATTAACAATAATCATAGCAATGACTGCAATAGTAATAGTAACAATTTTTTATAGGGGCTAGCTCAAGAACTTCCCTGTTCCTCTATCAGTCTATCCTTGAGGCTCCAATAATGATTAAACTATGCTTCTTTTAATTTTGCTTATTAATTGTAAATCAATTTCTTCTTTCATTGAAATTCCATTCCTCACAACAAGGCATTCTGCATTAAAGGATATTCCCCCATTCCACTGTTCCATCATTCCATCAAATAAGATCACCTTGTTAAACTCAAGGTATTGTTTTTGAGACTTTGTTGGCTTTACAAATTTAACTGCTCTTTGGGGCATTAGTCGCCAATTGAAATGGTAAAATTATCTCTCTTCAACAAATAAAATTTTTCTTCAAAGTTTCCTTGATGTGTGAATCAAACCTATTTTGTTATTTCTCCAAGGAGAAATTTCTTTTTTTCACATGCCATCCTGAATTTATTGTGAGATTTTTATTGTCTTCAGTAGTACTCCGAAACAAACAATAACACCAGGAAACATTGGATCAAAATTGGGTCAAGATTGGAATTCTATTGTGACCATCACTCACTTACCTTGATGCCATATATGGCTTCGCCTCTGTTAGGAGTTAGTAGCCACAAAACACCCTATGTGCTAGTTATTTTCCAAGTACTGTATGTCACTATCCAGAACACAACACAGCACTACAAAAATGTCATTTAAATCACCTGGTTTCCTGAATTTCTCTCCAGCTGGTCAAGAAATTGTTCAAATCTAAATGGAGTCAGCAGCTCCTATGACAAGAGAAAAAAAATTCAGTTTTTCCTTTCCAAACAAAGAAAAAATGAGCTCCATCACTGTGCTCTGTGTAATCAAACTCCACTACCCAAAGGATTGAAGAACTTGTTGATAAACAAAAAGCAAATATTTACAAAGCAAAGGAGTAAAATCATTAAAATGAGAAAAGAAAGATCTCCCCCTCCAGCAAGAAAGGCATGAGACAAAAGATGGAAAAGTTACCTTGTAAATGTATAGTTACTACTAAGGCTGGATCAAAAAGTCCACAAAAGAACAAAATTTAGAGAATGAAAGACATCATGTGTCAAACACATCAACGTCATGCAATCAATGCATAACCTGCTTGAGTAGTTCAGTGTGATTGCGTAATGTTACCTTCTTTTTATTGAAGTTCTTCAACCACTCCTCATCCTCAGAATCCATATCATACTCAGGCAGTTCCTCTTCAAAATTGAAAGCTTGAAAGAGAAAGATTCCTTCAATTGCAAATAATGTCAAGGAGATCATTGCTAAATGATGTTTTCATAGTGATCAATTTAACTCCTTTACCGCCTGTGTGACGTACTGAGTATATCACACATGTACCTATATGACACACTCAGTACATCAAAAGTTAAAGGGTAACAATCAAATTTCTGATACTAAATATATAAAACAACTTAGCCTCTAATGCTCAAAACTAGTAAATATTTGGAAAAAAAAAATTAGTCAATTTGCATTGGCAGAGGACTTCTCAGTGGGGTTGGCAGTTAGTGAAGGTAAAAGAAAAAACTTGAAAATAATACCACAGTTTAACTGGAGACCTTTGCAAGTAAGTAGATAGTGCAAGATTTAGAATTAACATCATATTCATATCAGGACAGCCAATTTCACCCCAAACCTCTTTTTCAAGGTGGAAGAGAACACCCTTGTGAGGACATGGCTTGGAGCGAGTTCTAAGCCAATGACAGAGTCATGAATAATTCCAACCAATAATTATTCCCTTGCATAGTTCATGCAAACAAACCTTGGACATGGATGTATTGTTTTGGCTGTTTGAAGGGATCATGGTAAAGAAATTCAACAACTTTATCTTTGATTTCCTCAGTGTCTGGAGTTGGTATCACCAGCTGCTGAGTATCACCATAAACCTGCTGTGCTGAGATTGCTCTCTGAAGATGGTGTTCCTAAACAGAAAGAACAAATCTGGCTGCTTCACTTCCTGTTTCTTTGTCCAAAAAAAAATCAATGTACACTATACTTTCTTAAAAAAGGAAACCTCCATAATGTGGACCTTTTCTAATAAAGAGGAGTACCTCTAAATTGCAGCTCCAAAGAGCATATAAGGTAGAAAATGCGAACACTTTTGCAATCAAGTAATGATGGCTGGTGTATTATACAATTTCCTGTTTGGATTTTCATTTAAGATAAAACTTCATAACATATGTTTCCTTAAAGAAAAAGACTCAAAAGCTTCTTACAGGAATTTGAAAACTTTTAAGGCTTAAGTAAGCACAATATAACCATTCTTAAACATTCTCCTTGTTACCATTTGCTTCTCTTGACACTATCAAAAGGGGATTTTCAAAATTTAAGCATAGTTTGACTTTTTCCCGCCAAACATTGCATTGTAGTCTGTTTTTTTTTTTCATAAGACAGTGTCCCAATACCACATATTAAAAAATTAAATACATGTGTGTGCATGTAATGTCAAACTTAATCCATGAATATTCAAGACCATTTATTAATTCAGGTCCTATTAGCACTTCTGATAAATTTTTAAACAAAAAATTTTAATTCACTGCTTAGAGATTCTACACAGATAAATTTTAAAATTCAAAGAAAAATTATAACGATAAAGGGATAAATTACTGGATCTTTGACACAAAATAATCACAATCAATTTAGAGGTAAATTTAGAAGTACTCTTCACAACAATCCATTTAAAATCCAGATTTTCACAAATTTAATTCAAATAGTTTCATCAACTGTTCCCTTAAAAAAATGTCCCCATGGCAGCAAATATTTTTTCAATTCCATCAAACTTAAGTTTTAGAAGCCAGTCTCTACAACACCTACTTGTAAGGCAAGAAAAAGGCCAACGCATAAATTTCCAAAACGCAATAAAACTTCCCATCGCACCAAGGTAAAAGGTTTTAAGACACAAGCAAACGGAACTTCAGACCTTAATTCGAAAATATTTTTCGATCGCGCCATTCGGAAGCTACTTCCGCATTTTGCAGACATTAATATGATCGTCCTCGATCACGTTCAAAAATGGCGGGTTTACGCACACATATCACGTGAACAAACTTTAAGTACATTTCACGAAGCTTGTAAACTCGAGAAATCGTTCAAAAATAACGATTCAAAACATCATCAGTTTTCCTAATCCGATGTTTCGATTAGGAAGTGAAAATAATTTTTTGAATGTTACTTGTACATCATCTCCTCTAAAAGAAATGAGCATAATACTGCGAGTTGACAACTTATTTTACTCACAGTTTCTTCTTCTTTCTCCATTCCAGTAGGCATTTGAGGTACGGCACGATTTATTGCGCTGAGTTCCGTCAAATCGGGTAGTTCCTCCGCCCGATACACTGGAAGAGGCTTGTTGGAATCGAGCTGCCGAGCTCTGAACGACTTACTCATCTTGACGCGCTCTTAAGTTCCCAAAGCGGCGCTCAAATTTAAAAATTTGAAACACTGCACAAAGCGTGCAGGTTCAAGAAAATTTTGAAACTTACTCTAGGGAAATCGATTTAAAGCATTTTGAACATTATGTCCTGTCAGGTCGTCTTTTAAGACTGACTTTGACAAATTTTCTTCTTGGGATCCCATTTTCTAGGATCCATCATGGCGGTAAAAACGCTCATAGGGGAAATATGTCCCAAAATGCAACACGGTCGTCCCTGCGCGCGCATTGTATTGAAGGGCGCTAGGGCGTAACCGGCTACTTTTGTTCCTCTTTTTCACCTCGTGTCATAGATGCGACCCGGTTATGTATGAATGTAATCCAATTTTATCCGCAAAACTTTTTTTCCATCAATATTTTGAATATGGCTGGATTTTTTTATCGCTCATTCTAGAATTGTGTTCAAAATAAAGCCAGATGGAGGACAGCTCGCCTTGCGAAAGCAATTGTACTCTAAAAAAAAAACCTTGTGTTGAATATAATAATCTATAACCGTAAGTGGACCTCAGACTTCTAAAAGCAGAGACAGAAATCTTTTCAAACGCAAGAAAGAGTTGAAGAGGATAATGAAAGGCATTTCTCCTTGTTCTCCTTTGACATATTGAGTATACAAACAGAGTGTGAAATTTAGACAAATATTTAGTACTGGCTGCATTCGACTCTTTTGGAAAACAAATTAAAAATAGTCCAGTCGCAGTTGACTCCGACACAGGGAAAGAGGCAATTAAATATTTCTTTCACTCAAAGCTGATATCACACGAATATCTGACAAATTTGACTTATTCTACGATCATTTGCACGCATGTTACGGTGGCTGTCTCTTATTCCCCTCATTTAAATATCTGGAGATCTGAATCTGCTGGGCCCAATAAATCTTTATGTAAGAAGCTGAAGGAAGTCTTTAACAACAATAACAACAACAATAGTAACGTATTGAAAATAACAATGATAAAAGTGATAACCGTACTGAAACAGCCAGGAGTTTTTCTCTTTGTAATATTTATAGGGAAACCATAATCAGCCAAGTTTTTTTTGGCATGAACCATGAGGAAAGTTATGAGAAGGAGTGGGCCGGGAGGGGAGGGCAGGAGAAGGAGGGAGAGGGGAGTGATTCTCACTGAGTTATCTCAAAGATCTCCGTTTTTGATGGTCGCATAAATTTTGTTTATGTAGAAATGTCGAACTTGAACTTAATTTTTCTCAAGAAAAATTCAGAGGGTCAATGTGCATTTGTTTCTCTAGGGAACTCGCCAAGTATGATTATTTTGAGTTCAATCTTCCTTTGTATCATTTTTTCCCCTCGCCACACCCTTTTCTTCTGAAACAATATTGCGTTTAAGCAAGGGGAAGAGGGTTAAAAGGTTTGAGCTTCGGCGGATTTGGCCTCAAAAAAAAAAAAACTCACCGATGGAGGCCAAGATTAAGCGAATTTGCGGATTAAAGAAATGCATGCCAAGGATTACCGATTAGCTCATGTCGTGACTCGGATTCCAGGCTCTCTAGAAGATAGGTATACCTCGGTGAGACTTGCCGGCTTGCTTGGATTTGCATACACCTAATTACCCCCCCCCCCCCCCCCCCCCCCCCCCCCCCCCCCCCCCCCCCCCCCCCCCCCCCCACGTCTCTCACCCTCACCTGTTAGTTAGGAGCTCAGTTCAGCCTACTTGGCACTGAGTTTAGTCACGGACCCATTCGGCTCCTGGTTTAGTAGGTGACTTTATTGTCAGGATGGGCGATTACTCTATGCAAGTCAAGAGATCAGTGTGTTTGTAAGCGCGAATCAGGTTTGAATTTGATTGGCTTCTAGACGAACCCATTTCGAAGGGGATTATGGTACAGAAAAAGCAAAACAACATTAAATCGAACCACCGAAATTGTATTAATGACCCTCTCATAACTTGAAGTCTTCTAGTTTTTCGAAAAGTTTCGGAAGAAACAGTTTTGAAATGATGTAAGGTATAGTTCAAAATATTTACTTTAAGATCTCTACGACACCGAGGAGCTCCTTCGCAAGAAGAGGAGGAACGTCGCGTCACGTCAAGTGAGTTAAGTTTGGACTAATATCTGCGAAAGAAACGCACTTCATTTCCTTCCTAGATAACTCGAACAATCTCATCCTAGAAATACATGACAAGAGCTTGCGTCACTTTTTCATCTTTTTTCTTCATTATTCAACATACAAGATTGCGATTAGTCCACACGAATAATTTTCCTTATGATAAATGCTATGCATAGTTTAAAATTTAATTGGCCTACATGATCAAGTAAAATCGAGGAGAATTCTAATGTTTTTAGTTTTGGATCATTATTGATTTCTTCTTCCAGTACCCTGGCTGTGGCACATATTTTTGTAGCTTGAGTAGTGCTGGATTCCATACAAGATGTCAGAAAACGTGGAGGACTTTCCACTTGGACCTCCTCCTTCCTATGAAACTACACAGAAAGTGAACAATAACACCGACTTGGAAAAGCAAGACATCGTCAATCATTTTATTGAAATTTCCGACTATTTTGAATTTGAGGATCCTCCACCATACAAGGAAAAAGAATCATCGAGAGTTTGTGAAGACACCAGTGGATTCCAGTTTGTCTTTCCACTTATAACACGTCCTTGGAAAAGATTCTTCACTGTATGTCTGAGAGGCCAGTGCAATCTTGCTCCTGAAAATTTTGGCCAGAACATGACATACTATCAGCTGAATTATTCGTGGATTTTGTTGATTGTTGTTATTGTTGCTGTCGTAGTGTAAGTATAATATAAGCTGGACACCTTTACCCAGCCTCCATATGTAGATTTATGTTTAAGTTTGTGACCTCAGTTTTCTTCATTTTCAGGAGGAAAAATGACTAAAACTGTGAGAGCCTTAATACAAAAGTTTGAAAAGGCAATAAATCACATTTTGCAATGGTTTACCAGGATGATAACCCATGCATGATGTGGGGAGTATTTAGAAAAATTTTGTAAATCATGGGCCAAAAATTGATTTCATGAAATCAGTATGGGCTCACCAGTATGAGAAAGGTTACTTTTTTGACCAATCAGAGTGCATGAAGATTGAATCTTGGTGAGGTCTGGAGTCTGACATGAGTGTATAATGATATGTGAAACAAGAATGGTGATTTATTTTTTTGATGTCTTGTCAACTGTTTAACTATCATGTTCTCAGGACTGATTCAGAGGATTTGAACTTTTGCGTTCTTTGGACAAGTTTTTCAGTCCTTCTGATCTATGTGCTAAACATGGTTGGGTTCTGCCCCATCACTTTGTTAGGTAAGCACAACTGCCATCCCAAAACTCCGAAAGTGATAATCAAACTGCAATCATCATTGTTGTCGTCATTGATATTGTCATTATCATCTATTCTTATTATAATAAACAAGTTGGCACATAGGTCCTTACATATTGATACTAATGATAATACCCAGTTCAGCTGCTCCAATCTGTTACTTAAAACAAGTCAGAATTGAAGAAATTATTTATGAACTTTATTTCAATAAATTTTCTTCAAAGTTGGAGAATTCTTTTGGAGAAGGGGGGGGGGGAGGGGGCTTTTTTAGCTATGTCCACAGATGCATATAATTTGGCTAAATTTATACAAATTCTTTTGTTGGCACCTAATTAATGATACCATGTTATTGTTGTGCATTTACACATATCCATCCTAATGGGCTTTTTAAAAAAAAAATTTATCTTTTCATTTATGTTGTTCATGTGTAAATTAAAGGCCTGAACTTACAGGAGAATATGTTTGTGAAGATACGAATAAAGTTGTGTTGAATAATTTACATGGATGTGAAGTCGAAGTAGCATTCTTTTCATTTTTAGTAATATTTGTTCAACTGTATTTCAGGTCAGAAGCTGTCCCTTTCAGAACAGTTAACAGCTCTGGTCATGTTTCAACTTCCTTTCTATGGTTTGCTTTCAGGAGCTGTACCTTTAATATTTTATATTGGTAAGATCCACTGTCATTTTATTTTTTAAACTTCTTTTTTTTGTGGTTTATTTATTTTTCACCCCCTATTACTTAACCCTTTAACTCCCAAGATCTGATTCTCAATTCTCCCCTCTAGCTGCTATATATTTCCTTGTAAATAAGTTACGAGAATTTGATGTTGGGTCAAGATAACAACTCCTACCTGATACATTTGAGTATTCTCATTACCTGTTTGCTGGATAGGGCATAGATATTGTAGGGAGAAGTTACTTGTTAATCACTTCTGGGAGTTAAAGGGTTAAATGGTGTACACAGTGCAGTGGTAAATTAATTATAGTGTTCCTGGTCCTAGCCTTCGCCAGCAGCTTATGTGTCATGGATTAGGACACTAAGCTAGTAGGCACAAAAGAGAGAGGGAGAAAGCAGGTTGAGTTCTTGAAATCACTTATTGTAACACAGGCTTTTCTAGGGTCAAGGGAGTAA